CGGCTAGGATCGCGGCGTCTCCCGCTTCCCGCACCGCTCCACGCCAGGCCCGCAGACCCGGAGGCAGCGGCCGTGCTTGGTGGGCTCCGGCGGGCTCAGCGGTCGAGGCGGCAGTGCAGGAGAGCAGAGCGGAGCCCAGGAAGTCCCCTGGAGGCTATGTTGCCGGGCGCGGGCCCCTGCGTAAGGCGGGTGCCGTGACAGGCAGGCCAGTGAGGCGCCGCCGGGGGAGGCCGCGACGGAGCTCCCGGACTGACCATGGGCTGAGACGCATCCTCGCTGAGCAGGTGCAGTGACCAGAGGTCCCGGGGGGGAGCCCGCCTTGCAGGTCCCGGGGACCCTCAGCCCTATCAGGACGCGCCCTACTCAGTCGGGTGCCCTGTTGACCTTCCTTCAGCGCCTCCCAAAGGCCCTGCTGACTCCACCTCCGAACCCCTCGCGTGCAATATCAATGACCCCTAACAGCCCCGGGCATCCTGTGCATACCCCTGTCCTATACCCCTGACCCCAGCCCAGCAGGCCCTGTGCCACCTCCTCTTTTACTCTGGTATTTTGAGCCCATTGCCTGTATGTATACAGTGTTTGGGAACCCAGTATCTCTTCCTTTCTCTTCTAGCCCAATGGGGGTGGGGGCAGGAGTAGGTGGGGGAAAGTGGGAGTGGTGGTCCTTGGCTCCAGAGCCCTTGGTAACAACAAACCTGTTCTCTTTCTCTAAAGCCTGTCGTGAAAGTGACCCTTCGCACCCCATCAGAACATGCCCAGGTGACTCCCTCCCAGATCTTCCTTGTGGCCTTCCTGGCCCTCCCTAGTGACGCTATGCAACCCCTGCTTGACCTCAGAAGCCTCTGGCTCCTGCTGCTGTCCTTGTTCCTGCTCCTCTTTGAGGTAGCCAGAGCTGGACGACCTGTGGTTAGCTGTCCAGCTGCCTGCCTGTGTGCCAGCAACATCCTCAGCTGCTCCAAGCAGCAGCTCCCCAATATACCCCATTCCTTGCCCAGCTACACTGCACACCTAGACCTCAGCCACAACAACCTGAGCCGCCTGCGAGCGGAGTGGACCCCCACACCCCTGACCCACCTGCACTCCCTGCTATTGAGCCACAACCACCTGAACTTCATCTCCTCTGAGGCCTTCTCCCCGGTACCCAACTTGCGCTACCTGGACCTCTCCTCCAACCAGCTGCGAACACTGGATGAATTCTTGTTCAGCGAATTGCAAGCTCTGGAGGTGCTGCTGCTCTACAATAACCACATCGTTGCAGTGGACCGCTATGCCTTCGATGAGATGGCCCAGCTGCAGAAACTCTACTTGAGCCAGAACCAGATCTCCCGTTTCCCTCTGGAACTGGTCAAAGAAGGAGCCAAACTACCCAAATTAACACTCCTGGATCTGTCCTCCAACAAGCTGAAGGACTTGCCATTGACTGACCTGCAGAAGCTGCCAGCATGGATCAAGAATGGACTGTATCTGCATAACAACCCCCTACAATGCAACTGCGAGCTCTACCAGCTCTTCTCGCACTGGCAGTACCGGCAGCTGAGTTCCGTGATGGACTTTCAGGAGGATCTGTACTGCATGAGGTCCAAGAAGCTACACAATGTCTTCAACTTGAGTTTCCTCAACTGCAGTGAGTACAAGGAGAGTGCCTGGGAGGCTCATCTGGGTGACACCTTGACCATAAAGTGTGACACCAAGCAGCAGGGGATGACCAAGGTATGGATGACACCAAGCAATGAACGGGTGCTAGATGAGATGGCCAATGGCACAGTGACAGTGTCCAAGGATGGCAATCTTCATTTCCAGCAAGTGCAGGTTGAGGACGGGGGTGTATATACCTGCTATGCCATGGGGGAGACTTTCAACGAGACACTGTCTGTGGAATTGAAAGTGTACAACTTTACCTTGCACGGACACCATGACACCCTCAACACAGCCTACACCACCCTAGTAGGTTGTATTCTCAGTGTGGTCCTGGTCCTCATATACCTGTACCTCACACCCTGCCGCTGCTGGTGCCGGGGTGTAGAGAAGCCTTCCAGCCATCAAGGAGACAGCCTCAGCTCTTCCATGCTCAGTACCACACCCAATCATGATCCTATGGGTGGTGGGGACAAAGATGATGGTTTTGACCGGCGGGTGGCTTTTCTGGAACCTGCTGGACCTGGGCAGGGTCAAAATGGCAAGCTGAAACCAGGAAACACCCTGCCAGTGCCCGAGGCAACAGGCAAGGGCCAACGAAGGATGTCAGATCCAGAATCAGTCAGCTCGGTCTTCTCTGATACGCCCATTGTGGTGTGAGCAGGATAGGTTGGTGGGGAGATTCTGCCCCAGGAGAGGTAATGCACCCCTGAAGGATATGAGGGGATGGAAGAGAGGGCTGGCTGCCCAAGGGAGTGGGTTCCTCCTGACCTCCAGGGAATTGGTCATGGGTACAACAGCAGGCAAGATTCCAATGTGGGTGTGGCTGCCACGAGTTTCAAATACGGATATATTAATCCTCAGGCAAATGCCACACCCCTACCCAAAGCCCTGGAAGTTCTCAGTGTGGCAGAGGAAGAGGAGGATGTGAGAGCTGGATGGGAATGAGGAAGGGGTAAGGGGAAAAGCACATTCCCAAAACTTTTTTGAGGTCATCCCTAGCTCCTTAAGAGAAAACCATTTGAAAAACAATATTTTTTTCTGTCTCTTCCCACCCACACTTATGAAGTTGTGTGTGTTGGGGGAGCCTCCACAGGAGCCACACTGGGAAAGCTGCAGTATCGTCTTTGGGCAGGAAGTCACACTTCACAGCTGGGGAATTGGAAACCTTTGGAAAATGAGTCAGGAAAAGGCTGAGACCTGGATCAGTGGCACTCCCCAAAGCGCTGTGAGACTTCCCACTGAAGTCTTCTTTCCCCCTGAGCCCCGGGTGGATGGATCTTTGCAGGAGCCTGGCCTGTCACCTGTTTGTTATGGCAGCAATGTGGGATATGGTATCTATGCCTTGTCCAGGGACTAGTGGCACAGATACCCTTACAGCATGAACTAAAGGATCCCTGTCACAGAAATAGGTGCCAGCCCAAAATTTATAGATGGGGTGAACTTCAGATAGGCTAATTCCCTGGATGGGGAAAGCCTTGGTTAACATTTGATTTCCAGCATGTGTGTGTCAGACAGGTTGAGGGCTGTGGAAGGCAGAGCGTTTATGGATGCCTGCCATAGATGTGGTCTGTGGGCCCGCTCTTATTAGAAGGATGAGGGTAAACCAGCCTCTATAATGTAGCAGCCAGCTGGACCTACCCGATTTTTTGTGTATGCCATCGCTTCATTCAGTCTCCTTATCCAACTCGGGCAGGATTCTGAGTTTTCCCTATAATGCTGCTCTGCAAAGGGAGGAGTCTAGGAAGTTGCGGCCCCAGCCAGGTGAGACTGGGCTTGAGATAGAGGGGACCCAATATGTATCTCCTCAAATGTTGACAAGGCTACCTCGCTCCTTTCAGAGATCTCCTGCTGCAAAACCAAAGCATGAGGTTTTGTCATTTGAGGGGTTTGGAATTGGGTGGTCTCTGTCCTAGAATGTAGTTTGGAGTACAGCTTAGGTGTCTGCCCTCCAGAAGGCCGCAGGCAGTCCTGCAGCAGAGGCAGTCAGTGGTAATAAACTTCCAGCAGGGAAGTTCTGCCATCCCAGTCCTTTCAGCCAGAGGTCTGTGCAGTTATGGTTGTCAGTCCAGAGGAACATAAAAAACCCATTAGGTTCCATCCAGGGTTACAGAATACTTTGGCTATGGAGACGACTGCTCCTTTAACTTCTCCCTTTGACCACATTGCAGGTCCGGGAGGTGGTGGTTCTGAGCTTTGGCAGGGGGATGAGCAAGGCAAAGGTGAAAATGTTCTCTGATGTTGGTCTTTATCAGTGTCTCTTCTCTTTTGTGTTTCCTGTCCATTGGAAGTTCTCCAGGTCTTCTAATTTTCTGACCTGCTTTTTAGGTTCCAAGAGGTGTTATTTACCTGAGGGTGAGGGCTGCTTGATAGGAGGGCCTGACTCATACACTGCCTATTAAGATGGGGAAGGGGACTGGAAGTTGACAACTTATCTGTTCCTGGGATCTCAAGGCTGCTGTCCATCCTTTATTAATATCCTAGTTTTGTCAAGAGAGAGGTGCAGCAATTTCCCTTAAGTAGTTGCATGCTCATAGGTATGCATGCTCATAGGTATGCATGCACACCAGCACCTTGACCTCCACCAGGACAGTGAAACTATAGTCCCCAGTAATGGTCTACACCTTTGTGCACAACATCATGCACACAATTTTCTTGTGCTATAGGAGAGATGGTGAGCACGCCAGGCTCCTCAAATACACAAATTTTTACTTTTAATTTCTGGAATCCCTGTATCTTCACCCATATCTCCATGGCTCTGAATCACTTCCTTGTAAAGGCTAGAGTTAGGGGGAGCCTGGGTTGAAGACCTTGGGAGAAGGATGATGGGGCACTAGCTGGTTCTACAAACTCCTCAGAAGCTTCCATAGAGACAGTATATGAGGCATTAAGCTAGAACCGAGACAGTGAAGGGCCCAGAAGAAAACTGGCAGGAGGCCAAGCAGCTGTGACTCCCTCTTCCGGTTAATGCCCGGTTAATGCCCTGATAAGATAAGGGTAGGGGAAGAAAGTTGTCTGGTTATATTCTAGGGCTCTAACTCTTTAAGGTGAATACCAAATGAAGCAAGCCTTCTGGGACATTCTAGATGAGCTTCTGAGGACTGGGAGAGCCCTTTTTTTTCTAAGTCCTACCATGCAGCTCTGAGTCGCCTGGCTATACCCACTAGTCTGGTTCCTAATTTGAGACACCTGGAAGATGTACCTGTCTGCACCACCAAGAGGTTCAACTGGTTATCTTCTTGCAGTGGTTTCAGTTGATAGAACCCAAAGGTAACTCTCTGCTTGGGGGATTGAATACTCAGCATAGGTAAGTTTCCTAGAACCCTAGGCAGAAAACTGCCAGGTGTGGATGAGAGATTACCTCCTCCCCTGCACCCATAAACCAGATAGTCTCCCAGGTAGCAGGTGTCCCTGGAGACAGAAGATGATAGGGCTCTACAATCTGTCTGTGTAATCATTTGTGATCTTTTTTTCTTTGCCTGTATTTGTGGGCCCCCATCCCCAAAGGGGCCAGGAGGGTACATCCCAGCTGGGGAGAGCAAAGCCAACTGATTCCAGTTTTGTGTGTGTTCTGACCTCTGTACTTCCTTCTCCTGTGTCCAGGACACTGTTCCTCCCTCTTGTGTACACCCAGGCTGGCAAATCTCAGAGCCTCTGGACTCTGAAAAATAGACAATGACGATTAAACCTGGCTTGAGTCTCTGTTCTGGAATAGTCTATTGCTGGTTTATTTATCTTTTCAGCCTGTGGGTGGGGTTCACTGTACCTCAGAGGATATGGCTTGTCTGGGGAAAGAGTCTTTAAATGCTGTTATAAGGACATAGGCAAAACCTTCTAAGCATTAAGAAAGACTAGGGGGAGCCAGACAACATGGTGGCACACATGCCTGTAATCCCAGTGACTTGTGAGGCTGAAGAAGAAGGACTGCAAATTTGAGACCAGCCTCAGCAACTCAGGAAGACCCTGTCTCAAAACCCACAAATGCATAAAAGGAACTGGGGCTGTAGCTCAGGTAAAGCACCCCTGAATTCAATCCCCAGTACCAATAAATAAAGACTAGGAGTCAGCAAACTTTCTTTTAGGCTTTGTAGGCCTTGCACTGTTATACCTCATAGTCTGTTATGCCCCTATAATGGGAAAATGTCCACAGACAATAATGAATGATGTGATTCTGTTCCAATGTATTAGTCAATTTTCTGCAGCTATGACAAAATACCCAAGGCTGAATATTTTACAAAGAAAAGAGGTTTATTTAGCTCACAGTTTTGGAGGATGAACATCTAAGATCTCCTAACTCCCATCTTCTTGGCCTCTGGTGAGGGCCTCGTGGTAGACAGCATCACAATAGTGAAGTATAGGTAGAAGACATCATGTCATGATATATGAAGCCAGAGATAGTCAGGGGCCAGGATTGCTCTTTTTATTATACATGCTTTCATGAGACCTAACTGGGGTCTCTTCTGAGGATGGTGCCCCCAATGATCTAATTACTTCCTACTAGGCCCCACCTCTTAAAGGTTCTACCACCTCTCAACACCATACTTGGGACCGTGGGACCAACTTCTAGTACATGAACCTTTGGAGGACATTCAAACCATAGCCATACCATGGCATCCAATAAAACTTTACTTATGGACACTGAAATTTTAATTGTTTTTTTTCAACCATTTGAAAATGCAAAAACTGTCAGTGGCTCAGAGACTACACAAAACTAGGCAGTGTACTGTTTTGACTAGCAGACCATAGTTTGCCAAACTGACAGATTTCAAAAGAAATGTCACTGAGGCTTAGAAGGCAAGAGTTTAGAAATCCCATTACCTAGGCTAGGATTATCTAATTGAAGATTTCCTGGGTCCCTGTAGTCTACATTGAGTTTACTAACAGTACCACAGGAAAATGCTTGGATTGAGGTGTTTTTTTTTTTTTTTTTAATGGTGGAAAACTGCTAATTTTAACACATTTTTTTTATTACCAGCATATTTTCATGTTGCAACTGGTAGCCATCTTAATTAGGGTAAAGTTCTATTCACCTAATGAGCAGGTTAGTATTCACTGACAGTTTGGTGTGTCCTGGGCATTTCATGGAATGAAAGAATGCAGTCCTTACTTTATTATCAGACATAGCCTTCTGAAATTGGACTGATTTTAAACTCTAACAAGGCAAATTCTTTGGCTAGGCTCTGGATAATTCTGGAAGGGAACTGTCATGGTAAATCCCCAAAAAGAAAAAAGAATCAACACCTGTAATCTGGAGGCTGAGGCAAGAGGTTTGTGAGTTCAAAGCCAGCCTTAGCAACTTAGCAAGGCCCTAAGCAACTCAGAACCTATCTCTAAGTAAAATATAAAAAAATGGGCTGGGGATGTGGCTCAATGGTTAAGCACACCTGGGTTCAATCCCTGGTACCAAAAAATAATAATAATTAAAATAATCATAATTTCTATAATTATACATTTTCTTATATTATAAAATCCTAATCATTGTCTGGAAAGTTGTCTTTTTAAGTTTTTTTTTTTTCCCAGAGGAACAATAAGAACTGGTGAATCCCCCCCACCTCCAAAAAAAATGCCAGTGAGAGAGATGCCTCTCCCAACTAGCCACATCAGACACATCAACCTTATCAGTGAAATGACAGATGTTCGTGTCAGACCTCTTCCATAATCCATGTGGGTACAGTGTTTCATCTTTGCAAAGCAGTCTTTGCTCTGGCTGACAGTTGGCCACTAGGATGAAGCTGGTAAAGAGAACAGGCTGGAAAACACTAAGAGTTCTTCCCACTGCTGTTGGCCTGTGCCAAGCCCTGTCTCTGAGCCTGACTTTTGACACTCTTCTCTCCTTTACTCCAAGGAAATCCATTTATCTTTTCAACCCTTATTGCCTGGCCCCACCCCTAAGCCACAAGAAATTCCCTAGATCCTGGCCAGGAGGTGTGATTTTGTCTGCCTTGTCTTGTGGCACTTTCCCTTGTTCCTCTTAGGTAGCACTCTGGAGCCTAGGGGAGGCTAATTAGTAACAGCTGCCTTTTAGAACAGAAACCGAGTTCAGTGCCTGGGCCAGCCTAGTCTTTCCTCCACCTGGTCTCTCAACTCCTCCCCTTTTTGTATTTGTTATCACTTGTCTCCCAGGAAACCAGTGGTGAAGCTTCACTTTCCCTATCCACCTGAGTTCACCAAGACTTGGGCCCCTGTAGTAGGACTGCTGGCTTTTCTGATCATGCTGCAGTGTGTCTATGCTGGGTGTTTCCTTTCCTATGGTTTAAGAGAAAGGTAAAGCAGCTGCCAATCAAGCTCCTTCATTAGGGTTATTATCCACTGACAGGTGGAAGATATCAAATGGTCAAGAAACTGAGACGTGCCCTGAGGCCTTCCAGTGTCTGTTAGCCTGGTTATTGTCCCTGGAGCACAGAGGGCACAGAACCATGGTCTAAGAGAACCATATTCAGTGAGTCAGGACATGGAGCCCTGTGGTTAGACTGCCAGATGCCCTCTGGCACTATCATACATAGGCAAAGGATCACTGCCCCCAAATCTGTGTGTGTGTGTGTGTGTGTGTGTAAATGTGCTCACAGTTATGGGGACTGGAATTAGATAGTATATGTGCTGCTTTTTCCTCACCTCCCACCGCTCCCTCCCTTGGTCATAATTTGCTCTTGGTATGGGCCTAAGCAGAAACAACATGCCTGGGATGCACTGTGAGAGCCAGGCCTGGTGGTGCACACCAGTAATCCCAGCAGCTCAGGAAGATGAGGCAGAGGGATTGCGAGTTCAAAGCCAGCCTCAGCAACTTATCGAGGCCCTAAGCAACTTAGTGAGACCCTATCTCTAAATAAATATTTAAAAGGGCTAGGGATGTGGCTCAGAGGTTAAGTGGCCCTGGTTCAATCCCCAGTATCAAAACAACAAACACAACACTGTGAGGAAACTGGGAATCTGCTTTCAAGATAGGAGCACTAGGGGGCCATACACGTACACTCTGTGAGATAAAGGTTGGCTCCTTGAATACCACAGAATACCCTGAAATGTTTCCTTAATCTCCTCCTAAGAGAGGTTAAAAACTCATTGGCGGGGCTGGGGTACAGCATAGCAGTAGTGTTTTTTTAGCATGTATGTGGCTCTGGGTTCAAACTTTAGTATTGCAAAACATTGGAAAAAAAAAAAACAACTCATCTGGGAAATTCTGACAACAGCAGGTGGATTAGAAATGGACCGTTTTTCTCTGACTGGCCACCTTGGTGATGAGCCAAGCCTTCGGGGTGGTGGTGGGGACTTGTCCCACTGGAGGTAATTTGTGTCTGCTATAGCCTAGTCCGGTGCTGAAACTTCTTCCAACCACCCTCCAGGGCAGTTCTGGGGCACAACCTTCCCACCTTTCAACTTAAATCTTCTTTGTGCCTGTGTTGGAGAGAATGGCTGAGGTTAATACCCTCAATGCCTGACTCGTATTTTATTCTTGGATCCCAGGACAGCAAAAACAATCCAGATAAAAAAAACAAACATTCAAGCCTCCATACTGCTGTTGCTCCTGTGTCTCTGTGTCCACTCCAAGCAGACTGCTGCCCCTTCTCAGACAAATGGAATGGAAAAGTATCCTTCATCTAATTTGAAATTTAAACAGAACTTCTTTCATGGTGTGTGTGTGTGTGTGTGTGTGTGTGTGTGTGTGTGTGTGTGTATGTATGTGTAAGCATGTGTATGTTAATTCCAATGAAGCATTCTGAGGAAAAGGATACCATGATCCTATTTCTAGAGCCTGAAACAGGGAGGGAAACTAAACCAGGCTCCTGAAGCCATTACAGTTGGATATAAACCCTTACAGTTCTATATCCTCAGTGTTGGGCATGAGGACCTGAGGCTCAGAGGGGTATGCTATCAGTGTGGTGTTCACTACTACTGCTCCTCCTTTTACTGGCTTGTGTGCCCTCTTTTCCTTCTGAAGGGCAGAATCAGGAAGGAAAGATTTAGATAGACTTGTGACCAGCAGCTCCTGAATAAGATGAGTTCCAGGGAGCAATTGTAATGACACAGAGATTTGCAGTCAGCCCCACTTAAGGCACATCTCACAAGTCATGGCCTTGGTGGCATTTCTGGCAGTAGTGGATAAGAGCTAGAAGGAAGAAATTTGTGTGTTCTCTTTTGGTGGTCACACAACCTCTCTGAGACTTGGGTCCCCCAAAAACCATTATCCACAACTGTTAATTGCCTCTCTAGGAAGCATTAAGGACCAGAGCCAGGCTCAGTGAGAGAGAAAAAGACAAGAACATAGTAACATCATCTGTTTACATTTGTTTAACACTTTGAATTTTCCAAAGCTTGTTAACATTCATTTTCTTATCTAACCCCACAACAGCCCTGTGAGGCAGGTCAAGTAGCAAGTGATTTGTCCACACCCACACCAGTGTTAGGGGCTGAGTTGACCCATATAGCAGCTTTCCCAGCTCTCAGGCCAATATACCTTTTGTTTCAAAACACACAGTTCTTTATGCCAGCCAAACACAGGAGCATCAGGGGCACTGAGCCAGAAGCCTCCCTGCTCCCTAAGCTTATAGAGGGGCACCAGAAAAGCAGCAGCTGGGGCATCCAGACCAGGGGGTCCCATGAAGACCAAGCAGGGAAAACAGAAGGGCAGGAGTACTAGAGGTTCAAGGTCTTCAGTCAGCACTATCAACACCTCTCAGTTGAGCATACACTGTGCTCCCAACATATCTTGACCTTTGTCAGGAGCTTGGGCCTGCCTAGTTTACTGAGCAGACTCTCAGTGCTTGCTCCAGACAGAAGCTTCAAGGTACAGCTAGAAGGCTGCGTCTGCCTGACTCCCTCCTCTCCCACAGTGCCTTCCCATTCTGTTACATTTTGCAGCCCAAGAAGAGGGGGAAGGTGAGGGCTGGCTGACTCAGCCTGCAAGTGCTTAGAGATCTGGAGCTCAAAGGCCCCAGCACCATTCAGCTAATGATTATTATTAACTCTGAACAGGCCTTGGCACAGCAGCCAGCTGGCTCTGGGAGGATGCCTGGATCTCCCACAGTGAGGTCTAGAAAACAAGACCCACGGCAGCCATGCATGGGGGTGGCAGGGTGGGACAATGAGAAAGGACAGACAAGCCAGTGTCAAGGAGTAGCAAAGGGTGATCTGCCTTGTGAAGGGGTGGGGAGAAGGCACAGGCTGGCAAGTGATAGCAGCCTGTCTTGGATAGAGCTGAAAGCCAAGGAGGTGAGGCTGGAAGACTGCCTTAGACGCAGAGCTCCTGCCATTCAGTACCACCCCCAGTCCCTATGGGGCTCAAGGGAAGGGGTGGTTATAGGAATGATGGGGGCTTAGGAGGGGTAGGCAAACCCAGAACGGTAATCCCATTACCATTTGCACTTGGATACAAAACCATCTATATTTCTAATGTCCTCAAGGTTGAGTCTGAATATAATCAAACTTGGAACACTATCAAACATGGAATCAGGACTTAGTGAACTCAATATGGAAATTTGTGCAAATGACAATTTTTAAAATTTTAATCTGAGCACCCTGGCTTTTCTTTAAAAAAGCAAAATAGGCTGACTACTAGCAGCTTTCCCTAGTCAAGGAACAAGGGCAAAAGGGCAGCCATTTACTTCTCCCCTGAGGCCTCTGCCTGCTGCTGAGGAGCACAGC